ATATCCTGGTGATCAACTGAAATTTCATGAATTACTGTCCTCATTCTCTGCCAGCATCACTGATGCAAAGAAAGCTTTCTACACTGACAAAATTCTCAGCTCTACTGACTCAGAAACTATTTTCAACATTCAAAACTCTGCTCACCCTTCCGTCTCCACCTCCCACCAACAATCTGTCAGCTGACACCTTTGCCTCATTCTTCACTGACAAAGTGGCAACTATAAGCAAGCAGTTGACTCAACTGGCCACTCCTGAACATTCACTACCACAAACTCCTTCTAGCCCAACCATCTCAAGCCCTACTGCTTCATTTTCCTCTTTTTTCCCTCTCACTGAGAACTGTGTGTCCAAGCTTCTCACGTGCAGCCGCCCTACTACATGCCCCCTCGACCCCATTCCGACTAAGCTGCTCCAAGCTATTGCTCCTACAGTAGCCGCAGCAGTCACACATGATTAACGCTTCACTGACATCTGGTACATTTCCCACCACTCTCAAGCATGCTCAGGTTAAACCGCTGCTAAAAAAACATCTCTTCCTCCAAATCATGTGGAGAACTAACGACCTATCTCTCTCCTCCCTTTTCTGTCCAAAATCATTGAAAGGGTGGCTTTCAAGCAGATCACAGAATACCTCTCACAAAACTGTCTGCTTGACCCTTACCAATCTGGGTTCAAAAAGGGCCACTCCACTGAAACTGCTCTGTTAGCAGTGACGGAATCCTTAAAAGAAGCTAGAGCGACTGCCAAATCCTCGGTGCTTATCCTGCTCGACTTTTCGGCTGCATTTGACACTGTCAACCATGGTTTACTTTTGTCCACACTCTCTAGCATGGGCATCACAGAGAAAGCACGCACCGGGTTTGAATCTTACCTCACAGGACGATCATTCAGTGTATCTTGGCTTGGACAATCCTCTACCGTGCATCATCTTGCCACAGGAGTCGCCCAGGGCTCTGTACTAGGACCTCTTCTCTTTGCCATATACACGACCTCACTGGGTGAGATCATTCAATCACATGGCTTCTCCTACCACTGCTATGCAGACGACACCCAGCTCTATCTGTCATTTCCACCGGACGACCACACTGTCTCTTCACGAATATCAAACTGTCTCTCTGACATATCAAAATGGATGAAATCCCACCATCTCCAACTCAACCCCTCTAAAACTGAACTACTTGTCATCCCAGCAAAACCATCCATACGGCACAATATCTCAATCCAAAATGACTTCCTATCTCTGGCTCCTTCAAAGGCAGTTCGAAATCTGGGTGTTGTGATTGGTGAACACCTGACCTTTAAAGATCGTGTTGCCTCTGTTGCTCGTTCATGCCGCTTTGCGCTGTATAATATACGAAAGATCAGACCATACCTAACACAACATGCCACCCAGCTCCTGGTGCAATCTACTGTCACCTCCCACCTCGATTACTGCAATGCCCTTCTAACTGGTCTTCCAGGCAGTACTGTGAGACCTCTTCAAATGGTCCAGAACGCAGCGGTGCATCTGATCTTCAATCAGCCAAAAAGAGCACATGTCACCCCTCTGTTCATTGAGCTCCACTGGCTACCGCTAGCAGTACGCATCAAATTCAAATTGCTAACACTAGTGTACAAAGTCCGAGATGGTACAGCTCCCATCTACCTGAATCCTCTAGCAAAGGCTTACATCTCGGCCCGGCCGCTCCGGTCATCACAGGATCGTCGGCTAGCAGTGCCTACACCACACTCAGGACAATCCAGGCTCTTCTCATGCATCGTTCCACAAATGTGGAATGACCTTCCAAACACTACCAGAACAGCGGTTTCCTTTTCAATTTTCAACAAACTCCTGAAGACCCTGCTCTTCAGAGAGCATCTTCTAAACTATCACCCTCCCTGCACCCGTCCCCCTCTCTACTGTCCACTCCTTGTTCCCTCCTCTCCATGATTCATCATGCTGCCTCACTGCCTCCTATGGCTGACTGGAAATTGCTTGTTGCTGTTGTTAGCCTCAAGGGCAACATGCCGATTATCACTTGTAAGTCGCTTTGGACAAAAGTGTCTGCTAAATATATAAACATAAACATATTTCATAATAATAGAGTTATCATTATTTTTGGTCAAATGTTGAACATGATGTTTGATAACATTCTGTGTTGGGAAAGATTCTCAGGTACCACCGCATCACACTGCAGCTCGAGTTCTGTCAAACTCAGTTATTGTCATTATTTGGTGATGCTGGTTAGCAGCCATCTTGACTCAGATTGACTTCAAACATTATTCAGCTGTAGGTCTAATGATTACTTTCTGATAGTTTTATTAAAGTCCATTTTGTAGTTAATTAGTTTGCTGACAAAAACAAACACATGGGCACAGGCAAAAACATCATCATCCACCTGTTGCCCCATGGCAGCAAGTGCAAGGCCCATATATGTAAAGCACCTTGTTAGAGTTCTACAACCCCCTAAGGCGCTTCAACACACAGTCAGTCATCTACCCATGTACACACACACACACACACACACACACACACACACACACACACACACACACTGGTGATGATGTGATGGTTGTAGCCACAACTACCCTGAGGCACAGTGAAGAAGAGGGGGCACCTGCAGGAAAGGAGGGTTAAGTGTCTTGCCCAAGAACACAACAGCAGAATTCCTTGGCAAGAGCCAGGATCTAACCTATACCCTTCCAACTACTGGACAACCTGCTCTTCCTCCTGAGCTACCGTTGCTCCGATAAAAACATGTTTGGGTGCTCTTAGTGCTTTTATGGCTAATCTTAGATCGTCAAATTCAGAGCGTGCATCAAGGTCAGCTCTGAACACAACAGTAATGAAGTCACCCCGACCAAAAAACTATATTGTGACACGAAAGAAAGAAGGTTGGTTTGCATCTGCAGTAGGGATGGACAATTTATCGGCATCAATATCGGTATCGGTTCAATAAATTAAACTGGGTCGATATTAACAACCGATATTTTTTCCATCTGGTCACCATTTGTTTATCTGTTTCAGAGGGTGAGGGGGGTGATGTGTCATTGTTTAGTCATGTGAACAGTGACTGTAATCATCTCAGAAGCATAAATGTGTGTGATGTGTACATAATAACGTGAATTCAGCTTTAATAATTTCTATTCTATACAAAATCTGCTGATTTTTGAAGCATTAATGTCATAATATTGGTAGCGGCAAATATGGATTATCTGCAGTAACAGTGATATTAATATCGGATATCGGTATCGGCCTAAAAATTTCATATCGGTGCATCACGAATCTGCAGTAGGTTTAGAGATTTGGTTTGTTGGAAAATGTTTTCTTTTCAATAAAACCTCTTAGAGTTCCAGCTGAAGTCATTTCTTATCATCAGTCACCATAAATGGTTGCATCCCACCTTGTTAAGGTTGGTGGTTTTTCCTTCAGTTTATTTCTGCTTCTGGGTGCTTTTATCTTTAGAGCATCTTTGTAACTTTTTCCACCACCTCTTCCTGATGTCTCACCTGTAGCTGCTTTAATAATCACCTTTTGCAGAATAAATCCTCCTTGGTCCTGATAGGTTTTTGTTGGATGCTTGTTGATTCCCTCGTGTCCGGCTGACCTTACGTTTGCCGTCTCAGTTCAGCTTTGTGTGTGCTTTAGAGTTTGTTTTGGTCAACAGTGTGATTTATATTTGATAAAGCTTCTTGAAGAAAAGTACAACCTCAGGATAAAGTGTCACGATTTGGGGATGTTTGGACCCAAAATGCAGCACCCAGGATGACACGAGGCAGGAGATGAAGTAAAGTAAATAATCCTTTATTCGCAGGATGAAAACAAGAGTAAATCCAAAGGCAGGGAGCCAAAAATCCAGAACAAGAACAAAAGCTCACCAAGAGCACACCAACTGGGACGAGACACGAAGCTCACACAGAGCACCAGAACACGCTGACACACAAACAATGGACCGACACCAAACAGAGACAAGACAGGACTTAAATACACAGGGAGAACAATTAAGGAAACAGGAAACAGGTGTGTGGAGTGAGGACTGGAGGGAAGGCAGGTGACACCTAACTGAAACACAGACAAAGGACACATGAGGGCGCTAAGAGACACAAAAGGGAATCCAGAGAGGGATGGAGGACACCAGGAGGCACACGAAGAAAGGGGCAGACGCAGATCATGACATAAATAAGAAAATGCTGTGCACCCTCTTCAGAATCAACTTTATTATCATTGCACCAGCATCCTGGAGCATAGGAATTTGTCTCTGCAGCACAACCTGACCAAGGTTAAACATGTAGACAAAACAGGTTAGGACCCTAGTCCCCCAGATGATTGAGAGCCTCATCTGCAACCTCCGAGTCCTGCATGTAGGCTGTCCTCTGGATGTGTTACTCTAACAAACACGTTTCAAAATCTTTTCAAGTCTTTCCTAACTTGTTCAATGATTGCCTGGATCCCATGTTCAGACGTGTGTGTGTGTGTGTGTGTGTGTGTGTGTGTGTGTGTGTGTGTGCGTGCGTGCGTGCGTGCGTGTGTGCGTGTGTGTGTGTGTGTTCTCACCCTGCTCAGAGAGACGTAGCTGCTGCAGCAACATATTGAGCCAATAGTTGGTCAGCCCAGAGCCAGGGATCATGAGGTCAGAGTTCAACGTAGAAATGTTGGCTGTCTCACAGGACTCAAGTCCCAGGAGGAGACGACGGGCCTCGTAAAGACAGGAGATGTTCCTCTCCAGACCCTTCACCACCACTGACTGATAGACACACACCAACAGAGGTTTTAGTATTCAGCCCATCACAGCACTCTGCAGGTAAAGAACAGATTTACATCTAAATTTAAAATGAAGAAAATTTGCATGAAAGTATTTCTATCTATCTTTTCAGAAGTCAGTGTGGAATAAACCAACCCCTCGTCTGGTCCCAGACTGGGTGTGAATTCAAATTGAATTAACTGACAGCCCCCCCCCCCCAATAAACTGCTAAATTTATTTATTTAGCATGAAAAGGAGGTGGATTTACAATCACCTTGCTGGTCTGTTTCACTTTGGGCTTGACACTAATGAAGACTCCCAGGTTTTGCATCATCTGAGCCAATTTACAAGGATCTGCCTCGCCGTCTTCACGCAAGTCAAACATCAAACACACTGGCAGACAGTCCTGGATGATTGGACACATGATGAGCAGAGAGTTTTTAAAATGTAAAAAAGCATTACAGAAGCAAAAAGAAAGACGTCAGAGCAAAGTGGCAAAGTGATTTTTGGCACCAAAATAAAAGTGTCCCGATGTACCGTGAGCTGCTCCCGAGCCAGACACACCCCCTCAGGGCTGCCCTGGATGAGCAGTGAGGAGGGGCTCTGAGGAGCGCTGAGGTCTGGCAGAATGATCTGGGTCTGGGTCTTGTGCATGACGCTCAGGAAGTGCGCACCATTCTGTCCCAGCAGGAAGAGGTGCTGCTGAGCGGTCACGTCCAGCTGGCTGCTCACACCTCCACCTGCTGCCTCCGACCCAAGCAGGATCTCCATCAGGATGCAGGTTGCCTTCTGTCAGGTGACACAGTTCATAACATCACATGATCTAGACATGTAATAGGCTGCAGTGGGTTCTGTGGCACTGACCTTGACAGCAGCCGCATTGCCCTGCAGACCCCAGACGGTGCAGGAGCTCCCATAAAGGTGGGGTTGGGCTTGAGGAAGAGGAGGCACGGTCCTGAAGCTCACGTTGACCCCTAAAGTCTGCACCACCTGCTGGATGAGTGGGGATCCTGCATCTGGCAGAGCCTGGGGCATCAGGCTGACTGGCAGGTCAAATGTCAGCGACAGTGGCTGGAGGTCCTAAGTGACAAATGAGAGATGTGAAAATAGCAGAAAGTGGAATTTGTCATGTTTTTGTGCCGGTCATTGATCACTGTGTTGATTTCTGCGTCTAACAGTGAAGAATTGAGACAAATAAAGTTCCTACTCAAGATAAAACTCACTCTTATCCTCCTTCTGGCTTCCTCCACTCCTTCTATTGGTCCAGCAATGGAGACCTGGTCAAAACGTGAGAAACAGACATCCTGAGACCACCTCTCCCGCCGTCTGAGCCCACGAGGCACTGAGGCGCTGCGTACCTGGTTGCTTTTCTCTCCTGCACCGTTGTGCCGGTTGGAGTCAGGGAAGTGGATGTGACAGGAGGTGACCTCCATCACCTTTTTGATGTTCCCTCCTCCTTTGCCAATAACGTGTGAGTGCTCAGTGTATGCCACGTCCATCTTCAGAGTCACTTTGTTTACCTGGGGTTTGTAGAAATCAACACTTTTCTCCACGACGGATGGATGTTGTAACTTTCTTTGGTTCTAAATAAATGATTTTGAGGTTGAAACATAATCATTCGCTAGTCTGGCCGCTCTCACCTTTGTTTCCAGCACCTCTAGTATCTTCTTTTTGGCTTCCATTACATTTTCCCTTCTCCCTTCTACCTTCACGTGTGGATCTAGTCGGAAGTTTCAATAAACAAGTGTCTATATTTTAGCAAGCAGGTGGTAAATCAGTTCAGTGTGGAGATTTGAAACAGAAGGAAATCCCGGTTCAACGGATTAGACTGTCTTCACCTTTCTTTGATTTGGCACCTATCTTCAGCTTGGATGGCCATTTCACCTGGGTGTTAGTTTCCCTCATTACCTGCGAAAGCAAACAGGAAACAACGTGGCTGAACGCAGAGACAACACAAGCGTCCCAGCAGAAGACCTGGGAACACAAAGCTGCATTTGCATTTCAAAGAATGCAACAATCACCTCTACAAAGGCGTAATAATGCGATGCAAACTGTGAAACAAATGAAGGGAAGTTTTCACTCATCTGTGAGCTAAATTTAACCGGGGAGACTTTAAGCACCAGGAGTTTTCTTTGTTCATTGTCTAACTAATGAGTTTCAAAAGAAGTTTGACTCACTCTTTGAAAGAACTCTTCTCCGGTCTCGTCCTCCTCCTCTTCTTGTTTAGGAGCTGGAGGAGAAATGAGCAACGTTCTGATTAAACTTTCGATCTGCAGATTTAAATAAAACACGTGTCTGCAGAGGCTGTTTTGGTGCAAACATGTTCATGTTCAGCGTCGACTTGGCTGAAATTTGACCAGCAAGTGGAACAAGAGGTGGCTGGAGACATAAACAAGTTTAAAAGGCCATCGCTCTGCAGTGACATTTACAGGGTTGGGGGGGGGGACGCCTCCTCCTCCTCATCGCTAAGGGTTACGCTATCCAGAGCTGAGGAATGGGAAAAGAACAGTGTGAGGTGGAGCAAGAAGGTGGTGGTTTGGGAAGACGACCACTAATTAAACCAGAGACAGTCGTGGCATTTGCTGTCGCAAAGATCTCCCACTTCACCTCCTCGAACGTTTTAAAGAATCCCTGTGAAGCTAAAATCTGAATGAGTCTCAGCCAAACAACCAGCAGCGATCTGAGCTGAACGCCTTCAGCACCTAGCTGTCATGAGCTCCACAGTCAGAGACACCGGGGAGGTGTTTGTCATAAACCTGCCGAGCAGTGATAACTAACAGCAGCAGGTCCCTGGAAGGATAAGATGAGCCATCACGGGTCATACGTCGCAACACTACAGCAGCGACTGACGGGAACTACAGAGGTAGTTAGAGGTAAGCGGAGGCTGGAGGCCCCCGCATGTGCTGGTTCAGGTAGATAATAAGGGTCAGCGCACTCAGGTGGGTGTGCACGCATCAGAAAGCACAATCTGCTGGAAATGTGAGGATAAAATGCCAACAAGGCTGTCTCACTCACCGTACAACATGGTTTCTAGTTTCTTCCTGTCAATTCTGAACCTCTCTTCCATCCACTCTGGATCTGAACTCTGCCCCACTTCGGAGCTTCCTCCTTCCTTTTCCTCTTCCTCGTCCTCTTCATCTCTGGGCTCAGGCTTCGCTGCTGAGTCGGGTTCTACGCTAGTGTCCGGGTCAGGCTTTAGTGCTTCCACGGAGGCCGAATAGACCAGGGAGCTCTTCTCCATGACGGTGGCCGTGGCCGTGGCAGGACTGAGCCTTCGTCAGTGTTTGTGTGTGTGTGTGTGACCAAGGAGACCAACAGGGGGAGAAAAAAGTGGGGGGAGAGAGAGAGAGGGAGAGAGAGAGAGAGAGAGAGAGAGAGAGAGAGAGAGAGAGAGAGAGAGAGAGAGAGAGAGAGAGAGAGAGAGAGAGAGAGAGAGAAGAGCACCCCCTCCTCCTCTCTGTTCCTTTTCTTGAAATCCCCTCTGCCCTCTTCCACTCGTTCTCTTTCTCTCTTTGAGCCGTTTGGAACTTGACGGATTTGCAGCTCTTGGCTTCGGCTGAGAGGGATGCTTCTCCTGCAACACACCATGGTCTGCTCCGTCCCACTGACTCTGGGAGAATCAACAAGTAGAGGGTGACTTTGCTCTAAACAAAGCCCGAGTAATCCTCAGTTCAACATCCACAGATGATCTGAAAGAAGAGAGCACACACTCGCTTACACACATCAGGAAACCTTCCTCACAGCAGCACACACAGCTAACAAAACAAGGAGGTCATTCTCATCACCTCTGCTCTGGTCTTCCTAACTCCCCCCCTTCCTTTAGGAGAGGGCTTCAGATTCCAGAGGTGATGAGGAGCAGAAGGGGTTGGTTAGTTTTCAACTATTCCTCAGGTGAAAGAATGCACCTCATTGATGAAAGAAGCATCCTTCAGTCCACTGATGATGGAAATGACAAATCTAGATGTCTTGAAATGTTTGGATCAGTAGAGAGAGAGGGGTGGTCATAATAGTGTGTTGATGGGATCTTTTAAGCTATTCTGTTGCTTCAAATGATGCACAGAGAAGATGGGAGAATTTTAGCTGAGGTCCTGCTTTGAGGGCTATTTTACTTTTAATTATTATTTAGAAATTATTTGATTTTGCAGAAATCATTTGATTTATGATCAGCGACGCTTCACTCCCAGCACACAGCTTTTACTGGTTCATCTGGGGATTTGCGTTTAGGTTTGCCTCCTAGCCAAGATGTTCGTATCAACAGAAACACGGTGGGAAAAGTGGATGCATACATGAGTGTTTGTGTGGGTTCAGCAGTGACCAGTGACTGTTTATCTACTGGTGAGGCGTCATTGTGACTTTATTTATTAGTATATGAACCATTTCACACAATGCCACAGTGCTTCAAGAAGCTCCCTCATCACTAAAGCCCACCAATCATGTTTAAATGACAAGCAGGTGTGCTAAGTGTTCAATGGCCAGAGATCTGAAGTTAACACACACACACACACACACACACACATGCACAAACACAGAATACTGGTAAATGAGAATCTAAACCAAATAGTACAGGAAAAAAATTAATCAAACTTCGGAAGACAACAACTGCAAATTCACCAAAACTAAAATTGAAATCTTACAGAAAAAAACTAACTACTAAATCTGAACCTAAAGCCCACATCACACATCAAATAATTGATACCGTCCTGATAGTACTGTGATGTTCCTGAGCCGAGGTGAGTGGCATCACCCCCATCTCACTCTGACTGATTTTCCACAGGTGACAGCGGAGGAGGGCCGCAGCTGCAGAACATCTCCAATCAGGGACGCGGGTATAAAAGGAGGATGGTGACACCTCATTACGCCGGATGATTGCTCCTGTAGAGGTAGTACCAGGCACTCGCCCTTGTTTTGTGAACTCGTCACTCGAATATAGGATATTTTGGATTATTGAACTTGGACCGCTCTGATTACTCTTTGGATTACCCTGAAACCTGTATGTTGTTTGTTCTCTCCAGAATCTCATTCAACCTGCCTCAACTCGCTGTTTTACTGACTGGACATTCTCACCACGTCCCATCCTCCTCCGCTGTGCCTGGTTGGATTCCTTCCGCTGTCTAACCTGTTTCCTCATCACCCCTGGACTGACTTGAGCTCACCTCGGCTTCCTCACCTCATTCTCCCCGAACGTTTATGGACTCGAGCTACTGCTCACCTTCTCCACAGGACTTCCCTGTGCACCTTTTGTTCCAGTTATATAAATAAAGACTTTAATTTCTTCCTACCTGCTCGTCGAGTCAGATTACTGCATGTCTTGGGTTAAACACATTCCACGAGACATGACAAGTACATGATGTTGGTTTCACAGACCATGAAGTCAATGCTAATTTTGTACAAAGCAAGACAGAATCAATAACCAATCAATATTCAACAGCTGTTTTTTGATAGAGAGGGTGGATACGATTTGCGGGGATCAAATAATTTCAAGGTGGTATGTACCCGCACAACCCTCAAAACTCACTGCACATCCGGAAGAGGTGTTAAGCTGTGGAATGGTTTAGATGACAACTTACAGAGTGCTGCTAGTCTGCTACTATTTAAAAGACATTAGAAGATGACTATTCTGACTATGTGTTATATAAAATCTTAGGTGTGTTCTTGCTGTGTCTTTGTAAATCCATGCTTTCGTTCTTTTTTAAACACAGAAACAGTTTTGTTTACCTGTTTGTAGCTACGGTTTCGCCGACAGCTGCCGGCTTCTTCAGGCTGACGCTGATGGTGGCGCGTCACTTCCTTCTCCGTTTATCTGCGGGCAGCAGAGGACGTTGTCGCCCTCTACTGCCCGCTCTCCCCTCTCCGACGATGCAGTCCCATGCGTGGTCCAGCGTGTAAACTCCGTCGTCCCTGTTCATGGTCCCACATCCACGTCTCCTTATCTCTATTGCTTCCTTGATCCATCTTTTGTATTTTTGTTGTTCGGTGGTTATGATCCTTGTGCTGTCCCAGTCCATTATATGGTTTTCTCTTAAGCAATGATCTGTTACGGCTGACTTTTTTATTGTACTTTCTGCTTCTTCTTTTGCTGCTCTTGTGTGTTTACGATTTGCCTCTTTCTCGCACTCCTTTCTGTGTTCTATTGTCCGTGTATTGAGTTGGCGTCCGGTTTCTCCTATGTATGTTTTATTGCAGAGTTTGCATGGGATTTCGTAGATGACTCCACATTTTTGTCCAGCTGATATTTTGTCTTTTGGGTGTACTAATCTGTTTCTAACTGTTGTGTATGGCTTTGTTGGTGTGTTTATGTTGTGTTTTTTTCATTGTTGCTCTTATTTTTTCCGTTATGCCTCTGATGTATGGTAGGGTTATCACTGGTTTTGGTTCTTGTCTTTCTGGGTTTCTGGTTCTTTTTTTGGGTTGTTCTTTGCTTTCTGTTTTTGTTTGTTGTTTTCCTTTGTTTATTGCCCATGTCGGGTATCTGCAGGTCTTTAAAGCGTGTTGTATGTGTTTGTCCTCTTGTTTACGGTCTCTCTCTTCTGTTATTATGTTTGCTCGGTGATATAATGCAATAAAACATACATAGGAGAAACCGGACGCCAACTCAATACACGGACAATAGAACACAGAAAGGAGTGCGAGAAAGAGGCAAATCGTAAACACACAAGAGCAGCAAAAGAAGAAGCAGAAAGTACAATAAAAAAGTCAGCCGTAACAGATCATTGCTTAAGAGAAAACCATATAATGGACTGGGACAGCACACGGATCATAACCACCGAACAACAAAAATACAAAAGATGGATCAAGGAAGCAATCGAGATAAGGAGACGTGGATGTGGGACCATGAACAGGGACGACGGAGTTTACACGCTGGACCACGCATGGGACTGCATCGTCGAAGAGGGGAGAGCGGGCAGTAGAGGGCGACAACGTCCTCTGCTGCCCGCAGATAAACGGAGAAGGAAGTGACGCGCCACCATCAGCGTCAGCCTGAAGAAGCCGGCAGCTGTCGGCGAAACCGTAGCTACAAACAGGTAAACAAAACTGTTTCTGTGTTTAAAAAAGAACGAAAGCATGGGTGTTATATAAAATAACAGTACAAAATATAAAATTGAATAACAAAGTATGCATGAAAGGTTCATTAACAAACATTTACTGTCAAAGTCTAACATTGTAAATGGTATAATGTTGTAATGTGGGTTAGGTGCACATAAGCTTCTTTGCTTCAGCCTACTCCATTTGAGCTTTGTTGTTGTAATGTTGTGAAATTTGAAAGAATACAACAAATGTAACTGCTCAATGAATGTGCTAAATAAATAGGAAGAGCAAACTCCCCAAAGCATAATATCATCTGTTTATGGATCAAAAGTCCACTCACAAGCAGAAGCATCAGCTCCAAGGCTTATTTAAGTTTAGCAGACTTTTCCTGTGAGATCATAAAGTTCTACCGAGCTGAAGGAGGTGTATCAATGGGTGGAAATCTTACTGTTTTCTTGGAATTTTCACAAAGTAATGTCCAGTTTACAGGGAAATGTGAAGATTTATTAGCCTAGAAATCTAGACAGACTGTAGCCGAAGCGTAATGATTTTGCTTTGCTTTTTATATTCACATATATAAGATGGCTGGCCAGGCTAAAGATTTATAGCTGGATTTTCCCTGTTTGAGATGAATTATGATGACATCACAAATGGCTTTTGGGTGGGTTATTTATTTATTTATTTTTACATTTTTGAATAGATTCATGTTATGACTGGGTGAGGTGAAAGTCAATAAAAAGCTGCAGTAGTGTGTTAACACACACACACACACACACACACACTTGCACTCTTGTGTGGACCTTCACTGACTTAAAATCATGTTTTGTGACTCCACTAAGCCTAACCCATACCCTAACCATAACCAATGGGGTTCTGTTCCTAACCCTAACCTAAACTAAAAGCTAATTTACACCATACCTCCAAAACTAAGATTTATGGTTCCACAAATGTGGAATGACCTTCCTAACACTACCAGAACTGTGGCTTCCTTTTCTATTTTCAAGAAACTCCTGAAGACCCTGCTCTTCAGAGAGCATCTTCTTAACTAGCACCTTGCCTGCACCCGTCCCCCCTCTCTACTGTCCACTCCTTGTTCCCTCCTCTCCATGACTGATGTCAATTTGTTGTTGTTACTATTGTTGTTAGCCTCAAGGGCAAAATGCTGATTATCACTTGTTAGTCGCTTTGGACAAAGCGTCTGCTAAATACATAAACATAAACATGGTCCTTAGAATTGCGTAGACCAGCAAAATGTCCCGACAATGTCGAAATGCCCACACATTACAGGTTAAAGTTTAAATTTGTCCACTGAAACATATAAAGACAAGTGCACACACACACACACACACACACACACACACACACACACACACACACACACACACACACACACACACACACACACACACACACACACACACACACACACACACACACACACAGTGCACTTGTGAGCAATAAGAACATCTGTGCTCTCCCTCACTGCCTGTCTGGAACATGCTTGGAAATTTCAGCCAAGTTGTTTGTTTCTTTTAACCAGAAGGTGGTCATGATCATCGGAGACTGCAAAAATAATATATAAGCAAACTTTTTTTGAAGCTGACATTTTACAAATTTGTTTTTTTTTTCTTTTTTTTTCCCATCTTCAAATTTCCCTAATCTGTGATCTAAGGTGCCGAGTGAAACATGAGAAGAAACAAGGCTGTGCATTAGTGAGTTCTGATGGGAGTCTGCCTCCAGCTCAGCCTGAAGTTTCTGCATCACTCTGATGAACACGGCCTCAGTAAACATCATTTGGCAGCGCTGAGATCCTAACATTGTAAATCACTGCAGGATGTATGCCTGAAGAGAACTGCAAGTGAAAGACGTGATGATGGTGTCACCATGGCAACAGGGCAAGGAGTAAATTATTCAAAGTTTGATCCTGACTTCATAGTTGTAGATCTCCTCCTTCGTGCCCTGTCTGACTGGAAACGGCTGCAGTTCCAGTAAAGAGTTGGGGTGTGCCTCACAGGTTTGATTAACAGGAAGGGGAGAGAAAAGACGAAGCGATTAGCAATCCCATCGATTTCCAATTTCTTTGAGTTGGCTTTCTGATTCTCCGAAACACACATACATGAATATACATTCATCCTGAAACTGAGCAACCTTTCTCTTTAGGTTCAAAGTTTAAAAAGTAAAAGGGGAAGTTAACCTTTCCATCAGATGACAAAATTAAAATTGGTTTCTCCTAAAATGTCATAGAAAACCCTTGTTTGAAAACTTTCCTCTTGTTTATGGTTTTCATAAACTATTAATTTATGAACTGTGCACTTAAAACATTCATTTGCTTGTTTCCCTGAGTCCGTACCACTACTCTCGTGGAAATGAGGGGGTGAAATTAGAGATGGTTGTGACCTGTGAGCTGATAAGGAACAGTGTCTAGCTCACTCTTTGATATAACACGTCATAAAGGCCACATGACTCCTTTCAAATGTGTAAATGAAAAAAAAGTGGCATACATTAATGAAGATATGACTAAGGTGATTTGAAATAGACCCATTAGCTGATGTTTTCAGTAGATAAATCAGATTAAGCTAGATGTGTCTTTCAGGAACAGGATTATTGGTTTACAGAGTGGTAATCTCGTTTAACCCATGCAGCCCAGTCTTTATAAATAAATAAGCTGACCGTAACAACAGTCGATAAACTTCTTTGTAATTTTATATGGAAGAAAATAAACCATTACATTAAGAAATCAGTTCTATCCACTCCAACGTTAAATGATGTATTTAAAATAAACTGGATCAAACAATTTCTCCAAATCCTCTACCTCAATTTGGAATTTCATCCTCAATTTTATGTTTTCAAAACGTTGTGGTCTGAATTTTGTTCTAATACAAAGCTATCATATTGATAAATTACCGACCAAACTGCCAGATTTTCATAAACAAAAGCTTTTTCTCCTGGTCCCTACTTTACAAACGTAGCTCCTCTACACACAGGTGTCATATTTGGACCAACAGAGATAGAGTATCTCATACAAACGCAACTCTTTATTTTTACTGTTCATGGCATTCATGTTCCTGACTCAGAATTACTTTCTTACGTAGATTTTTTTGAGCCTCTATGGATTTTCTTGTTCTACCAAAGGAGTACGCCGTAGTGTTTGATGCTATTGCTGCTGGTGTATTAATGTTCCTCAAAGGCTCAGTGGTCAGGGACCTGACCCCACTGCCAGCTGGCACCTCTGTGGGCAGGATCTGCTTTTCA